AACCAAATGATTGACCGACATGGATTCAGTGATGATCCGCACATACCTGGTGCAGGATTTACTACACTAAAAAATGCAATGACCGTGGAAAACCACTGTTATGTCAAATTAGAGTAGTGCCGACAAAAACTTACAATACCCAGGCTAGAATTATGTGTGGCGTGCTACTTGCTAACTCATAAAGAAAAAGTCAGTTTATCAATGGTTTTTGTCACCTGTGGGTCGGACCTCTTCTGATAACTGGATCATGAAAAATCTCATGAAAGACGAAACCTTTGGTCCACCGAGTTTAAACTATCACATGCGCTTGTCCGACTATGATTGGAGACATTGTTTTTCTTCTTGTACAAAGTAAAAGAAGATTGTAATCGCGAAAGTTCAGGCAGCACGAAAATATTATTTTGACGCTATCGAAGCAATTTAAGATGTATTCAGAATCTGTACTAAGGACAGATAAACACTCTTTTCCTCCAAAAAAAAAAAAAAAAAAAACTATAAACTGCTTAAATGAATTGAAGAGAATTCGTGGCGTCTGTAAGAAAGTCTGTACGTACGTAATATCTCGCATAACTCAAAAACGAGTCGACTCGGACGTTGAAATTTGTATATAGGACGCTATAACATGCAGATGTGCACCTTATATTTTGGTTGCACGGGCTCAAAACTATATAAATATATATCCACTCTGTTACCGGCTCAGTGATCTCAGTTTTACTCTTATATGTTTGTAATTGTACATTTTTTGCTTTAAAATGATTGAATTATGTTGCTCTTATTTCGGGTTAAGGTTTTTATGCCTTAGTAATCGCATGCATATTTTTGAATTATCAACAATTTTAAAATGTTAAGTGCCACACACCTAAGATTTGCCGATGGCGGACATGGTTGACATTTCAAACTTAACAAAATAGCAGATTTGCGGCCAATTACAGAAACCAAGCTTCGAAAAACAAAGATAACGCCTCTTTTTTTGCCAATTAAATCATGCTTAATCTTTCTGGAATTTTTCAAGAAATAGTGTTTAAGATTTACTTGTAATTTTAATACAGATATTTTGAGTTTTTATGTATTTGCCTTGTCGCAAAGTGGAAATGAATTAATTGAATGAGAAATACTCAATCGTCTGTGAAAAACTGTTTCTTTTTGTTTTGTTGCTTAATTTCTTTTATACATCGTTCTAGCTTATTATAGTATTTGAATAGACATGTGGAATGATTAGATAATCTTTAAATGATATAAATTTTGTGCATTTGAGTTATAATATGGACGAAATATAAGACTGTAAGGAACCTAGCACAGAGTGTCGCTATGGTGACAAAGGAATTGAAAGAACGCATTATCCTAGTGGTTGCGCTGTCGGCAAAGTAGGTTTAATTCAATTTAATAAGTTTAAATGAAATGCAAGAAAAAATGCGGTCAAAAGTATAGTTTAGGGTACCCCTTGGCGAAACTTGGTAATTTTTGGCGGTACATGGATACCGACTTTGTACAATTCTTTGACTCGTTATTTTGGCTTGCGAAGCGGCCATTTTTGGGCCAAAAATCCAAAAATCGCTGCTACACAAAGCCAAAATAACAAGACAAACAATTGCACAAACTCGGTATCCATGTACACACGACTCATTTTACATAAAAAAAAATCCCGAATGCCCAAATCTTGCGCACTCTTTTAACTTTATCATGACAGCGATCTATTTCACTTAAAAAGTATCCCAAAGGACACCAAACATCGATCGTCACAATATAGGCAAACAAAAAATACATACTCAAAAAATACGTTCAAACCAAACAATAAAATAGCATAAAAAGAAAAAACAATGTTATACATTTAAGCACTACCAAAGCAAATACACCCAGAGCCCTAAAAATCAAAATATCAATCATACTCAAATGACGTTTTCAAACCAGGTTCTTTTTGATTTGAACACTTCACTAGTGACCATCTGAACCTTTCTTCTACAAACCATTATATCCATCTAAACGGTTTTTACGCTCGAAGACACATATCCTTCTACATACAGGACACTATTATGGCTACTAAGTAAACCTTCATTTACACAGTCAATTAAAGCTTTTTCCCCTTCGCTCCAAATCGTACAGAAACTTCAAATTAGAAATTAATCTTACATTCGGTTATTCTACCGTCTAAAGAATCAAACCAAAACCCCACAAAAAACGTACAAAAATCCATGATTCAAAATTTCCTAGAATCAGCACCCGATTACGTCACAATGGGGTGTCCATAATTCACTACTCGGCTACCATAAATGAAAAACAACTTGCCATTAATACAAGGGGTACCTTAAAGTCTACTTACCAAAAATGCGTTAATTTAATCGTACAAGGAAGTATGTGGTAACATAGATTTTTCTGAAAGCAATCCTGCTACTTCATATCTAGAGGAACTAATGCGACAATCTTCTGCAGAACTCTATGTGGTGGACTGGCCCTTCATTTTTAAACTCGAACATTCCATATTCTAAAGAACCTATTAACATGACTGATAATGATTATTCTAATGAACTAAAGACTAATTATAACCTTGTTTTAGTTTCTAACCCTACTAATAACTTCATTGACGATTTTTTAAATATTAGTAACAGTTTTACTACACTTGTACATGTTTTTAGTTACATTTGCAGATTTATAAATAATATCAAATGTCCTAAGAATAAGCAAGTAGGTAAGTTAACAACAGAAGAAGTAATAAGTGCATCTAATCATTTAGTTAAATTAGTTCAACATGTAAAGGAACCTCTCAAAAGGTACATGTAGCAATATTCATACATTTTGCCACCAAGGCAATCATTTAGATCAAAGCACTATCAAAGGCTCTTATAGCAACATTAAAACGCTTCTTCTCAAGAAGAGGAAAATGTTCATGTATATTCTCTGACAATGCTACGAATTTCATTAGGGCAAATGCAGAGCTAAAGAGATTACACAAATTTATGAATAATCCAGAGGAAGATTTAGCGAACTATTTAACATCCGAAGGTATTAAATGGAAATTTATCCCTTCCAGATCTCCAAACTTTGGTGGTTATGGGGATCAGGAGTTAAATCCTTCAAATACCACTTATGAAGAGTAACTATTTCATCTAAATTAACATTTGAAGAACTGTTGACAGTTGTTACACAAATAGAAGGGATCTAAATAGCCGACCAATCAGTCCAATGTCAGCAGACCCCAGTGATTTAACGATGACCCAGGTCATTTTCTAATTGGTCATCCATTAAATTCTATTGCAGAACAAACAATAATTGATAAACCAGAAATTATTAACAAGTGGTGGCAAAGAACAACAAAATTTGTGAGAGTGTATTTGGAAACGATGGTACTTGATTACCTCAATCATTTAAACTGCGAAACAAACGGATGTTTTTAAAAAATAATGTTAAACCAATGACATGGTTATTCAAGGATAAAGATTTGCCTCCAACAAATGGAAAGTTGGTCGAATGGAAAGCTTTCTTAAAGGTTGCAGAGACACTCAGAGTTGTGTAATCAGAACAGCTAATGGAGTATAAAAAGAATTACTCAAATTGTTGACCCATATATGATAATTAGTTTTGTTATGATAATATAAATCTGGTATATATCTTAAGAGACTTTTTCAATTTATGTAATATTTTCTAATTGTTACTTTTGTAATGCTTTGTATTAAACTTCATAATTTTTGGTTAATATGTTATATGCACTATATGCATTTGAAATTTTCAAAATCAATGCAGGAGGTGTACGTAATGTATACGTAGCGCACCACAAATAAAGATGCGCCCTCTAGCGAGGTGGATGGATCAATAGCATCTCTGTATCTTCGCTCGAGCTCCAGCAACTAGCGGAGTGTAAAACTTTTGTCCAATGCAAACTGTGCATTGATAATAAATTCTTATTTTAAAATACAGCCCACTATTTCATAATCAAACCTCCGTAACAGTAATACCACAACGCACATGTACTTTGATAATTCTGACCATATGCCGGGGGAAGGGGAGGGTTGCACAAAAAACGGATTAACATACGGCCTTTCATCCCCTTCAAAATTTATTGCAAATACTTTTCCTAAATGCTACACCTATAATTAAGCTTAATCTCTTTCAAGTACGTGTTTTGCTACCATAACTTCCCAATCTTACATTTCTAAAAGTTCTGGTTAGTATTCCTCATTTTGGAAGAAAAGTTTAATAAATGGCTATAATTATTTCAAAATTGGCAGTGTTTCAACTCTTTTAAGTGATGTGTAGCATACATTCCTAGATAGAAGAATTTGGAAAAAATGACGAAGCACTCACAATACTATAACCACACTTCTATTTTGAATACATTCTACTTTAAATATTTGATCCATTTTCAGTTGTGAAAATATACATACAAATATAATTATATATGATATAACACAGTAAAGAAACTAAAACTTTGCATTGTCACTCTGCTAAGCTTAAGATATTTATGTTTCTAATTTTAAAAAAAAAATTATCAGAAAACTGTGATATAAAAGAAGGTCAGCATTCTTCTGTTATTAGGTCCAGATTCAGAGACGTATGTTTGTATGCATGTATGCGAGTATATGTGTGGGTGTATACACATGCTTGTATTGGTACATAAATGTATACATGCATACATGAACACATCTGTCCATCCATACATGCATATATACACACATTTCTGAATCTGGTCCCAATAATAGAAGAACACTGAAGTGTACTCCCACTCGCAATATATTTATCTTTCAAATTTAATAAACAAATTCAAGGAAGAAAAAAGATTTGAAGAAACACGTTGTCACAGCCCAAATTAAAATATTTTTTATCTTCCACATGGCAGTCTTTTGTTGTTCAGCAAAGCATTATGTTTAATTTTTCTTTCAAATTAACAAACTAAGCAATTTAAAAGAAAGCTAGTATTTTGATTTATATGTTTTTATGTAACATATCTATATCAGAATACATTATTTTTTTCATACTTGATAAAAAGTCAAAAGCTATAAATCACTCACTCTATAGACAGAAAAACACAACAGAGGCGATAAAAGTTCAAGAACTCCATTTTCACACAAAATGTCTTGATGTTCTGCAGTCTAAAAAAAAATAATGATAATAATAATTTTAAAATAGTAAATCTTTACTACTTTGTTCTTTAAGTAAAAAAAAAAAAAAAGTGTCTGTTTGTCGCTGATAGTTTATTGGTTGCTTGCGTAACTGTACTAGTCAATGGGGGTGAAGTTGCCATGGCACAGGCTTGCCGTTCTAATTGAGACGTAGACAATTTCCTGTAAAACTTGCCTTTGCTATGACCATCAATAAGTCTCAGGGCCAAACGCTTAAGCGCGTTGGCATTTGGACACGGTTAACTTTATGTTGTCTGTTCAAGTGTTCGTGAAAGAATGGAAATGTTGTGTTCAAAGAGATCTTTGACATGTGAATTAACATTTCATTATTTAAATCCCCTTTATTGATTGAGCTAGCAGTGGGCTCTTAAAAAATGTACCGCCAGTGGTTTCCTTCATTGTACTCTAAGCAATTAAGCAAGTAGAAGGGGGAAACCCCATGGGGCAGTAAGCAAAGAGGTGTCCTCACTGCCTGCCCTGCATAATTCAGTTTCAATTAGCAGACACCTTTGCATAAATCATTTAAATTACAATTTATAATATCTAAAACAGCGATCATTTTGTATAATCGCTGGGCTTTCTAGTTATAATATATGCATACATATTACTAATTTTACAAATAATTTGAAAACTAAATTACTACCAAATAAATAAATACTCCATATTCAAACATAAAAGTCAATTAACCTGACATCCACAGTACAGCATTGTCATGACACATTCTTGAACTGTTGGCGACTGCTGTTTTGCCATTCTGACTAAATGCGGAATAAGTGAGGGATCCCCATACAGGACATCAATTGGGGCATCTTTTCTGGACATCACTGTCCTCAGACATCTCAGACAAGCTTCCATAAGTTTTGTATGAGGACTAGCTAAACCTAAAACACAGAAATTTCAGTTCTTAATAGTTCTTTGCTTCTGTTTCCATGGAAAACACAACAAAATATATTAGGGTGTTTGAAAAAGAGAAAAAAGGTAATTCTTGTTTAATAAAACTGTGCTATAATTAAAAGAGTAGAGAAAAATAACACAGAATCATTAGGTTTCAATTCAGTTAAGTATATTTTCTAGCTCGATGATTACACGAGCATGATCACTGATGCATTAAATGAATTATAAAATATGTTCTATATTAAAAGATCTCCTTGAAAATGGATAAACAGCCAAAATGCATAAACCAATGGTTTTAAAATATTGTATAAAACAATTAACAGAAATTATTGGATGAATTGTAGCTATTCTATGAGGAATTTGTCAATAGACTGACTACAATGGCTTAGATCAGTGGTCGCAAACTGGCAGCTTCTGAAGCAATATTATGCAGAACACAAATACATTTTTGTAAATTAATTAGCAATGTTATGGCAAGAATTTGAAGATAAGGTTTTAGATTTTTATGGTTTGGAGTGTAATTTTACATATTTTCATTACCAAATCATGAGTAATGCACTGAAAAATCAAGAAATGGAGCTAATTAATTTATACAGTGATATAAATTTTATTCAAAGACTTGAAGATATAAATTTGATTAACTTCCATTATACTTTTCAAAAGATAAATATCCTCAACTACAAATTTTTGCAACAAGAATAATCACTTTGTTTGGGAGACCATTTACAAGTGAGCAGTTTTTTTCCATAGCTGAAAAATAATAAGCCTATGAATAGAATCGGACTATTGAAGAATACCTACAATTTGTGATGGACAGTTTTTAGTAATTTTCCTTCAATGTCATAAACTTAACGAAAACCACAATGCCATGAGGTGCTGCAGAAGAAAGGTGTAGTAAGAAGTAACGAAGTTTATAATTATTTAATATAAATATTTTGTTTACATATAAATTTTTGCATTTTGGTATTTTTTCTGTATGTGTCAGAGAAAAAAGCAATACATAAAAAAAAGACCAGCGGTTTAGATGATAGCTGAAAAGAAAATTTCTGAAACAGGGATTCAAAGATTATTTACAAAATATTATTAAAATTTTTAATAACATGGTTTTTACAGACGTTATTTTATTTATGTGATTAAAATGAGGGGGAAAAAATGGAAATTCAACATGGAATATTATTTTATACAAAATGAACTCAAAAATAACATTGCCAATGAATGTAAAATGATAAATGTAAGAAACTAGAGGAAGGTATTCAAACTGGCATCACAATTATTAATTCAGAAAAATAGGGTATTGAAAAAAATTAGTCATAATGCAATATTTTATAATAAAAATTACTACAAATTAAAAATGCCTAATGATACATGTATTTTTATTCATACCTCTAAGAACAACACTGATCAAACCAGCTTGTACAAGTTCTTCAACATGTTTATCCGTTCCTTTTGCCAAGCTACCAAGAGTAACAGCTGTTTCCACCATTAGCTCATTACTACAATTCTTATCGAGTAGTATCTGGAACAACCTGAAACATAAAAAATACATGTATTGAAACTTTAATCAAAATATTAATACTGTAGTTAGTTGTATATTTTTTTCCTAGCTAAGCATGATGTTAAAGGTACCCCCACCCTTTATCAAGGCGTTCAGAAAGCCAGCTGCCCTGGAATGGATTCATCCATATACTGATTGTTTTTGTCTTACTAATTAATGTGTTAGTGGATTTTGGGTGTATGGACTTTGACTGATTGAGTAATAATATGGAAGAACATCAAGAAAATGGAGATATCCAATGCTCTAGATGATTCTGAAGATCACTTGTGCGTGTGAGCACAGAGATATGATAATGATGATGTACAACCTGTAGCAGCCAGCATAATGCAGTAACACATAAAAATATTACAATCTCAATAAATTACATTTTAAATCTAAATAAAACAAGGAAATAACATAAAAATTGAAAAAAATGTTATCTCATCTGTGCAGTAGCAAAAGAAAATATCGAACTTACCTTATTTAGAAATTTCTGTGTCTTCGGTGTGTGGCACACAGAATTCCTCAACAGCATCCCCAAACTGTTTAAAATTATCTGAACTAGAATCTACATACTGCAGTTGCCACATAAGTAAAAATAAAAAATATCCTCCATACTGGCGGTGGCATTTCTTGTGAAAATCCTTTTTCATTACACCCCACATAAATACTATAGCGTTGACATGAGATCTGGTTTGCGAATCCTTAAATGTCACTGACGGGTGAATGAAGCCATTTAAATCTTCATTTACATAGCAGTCAATCAAAGTTTTCTTTCCCATTCGTTCCAAATTGTACAGAAACTTCATGTTAATATTAGCACCGGCAGCCATTTTATAGTGCAAGGCACAAAATAAGCATCTTATTTTCTAACCGACATCCAATGCAGAAAGCCTAGAGAAATATTTTCTCAACAATCAAAATCACAGCATCATGCATTACAACCAATCGCCTCATAACAGAGTTTCCAAACCATGCACTGTAAAATATGGAGGTTATTATAAATGAAACAACAACTTGGCGATAATCCAAGGGGTACGCTAAAATATAGACTATCCGTTGATTATAAGCAATTACTACTTTTACAACAAAAAGGGAAAATAACCAAATTAAAATGAACATAAAAGGGGCTATTGCAAATTTAAGTTACAATTTTGATTTCTATGCCAACACACACATTGCATATGAAAGCCAAAGTGCACAGCAAGCCACAATTAGGAGTATGAAGATTTGGTTTATGAATAAATCAGTTGACATTTCAGTTTATTCACATTTGCTAATTTGTGTTTCACTTACCAAATTTTAACATTTTCAATGCCAGAAGCATTATATTAAGTACAGTACAAAGTCTGTAATCCGGACGTCCATTATCCGGAATGATCTATAATCCGGACCTCAAAGCCACAAACCGTACGCATGCGTATAATGTATGCTTTATGCACACGGGCATTGAAAGAAATGTTTAATGAAGTAAACAAATACATATACAGCTTTTTTTTTTGTAAAATTTGATACCCTTTAGATCATGATTGCTCTTTATTTCAGAAATTACGGTTTCATATTTTTAATTGTATAATTTCTGCACGCCATCTTACTGGATTTAAATTGATTATCTATGATCCAGAAAAACCCCTAATCCGGAATTGCCGAAGTCCCGACGAGTCCAGATTACAGACTTTGTACAGTACTTGCATCATTAGCATTATGTAAGAATAATGTGACAATGATTAATTTTGAAGTTATGCAGTTTAGAGAGATTTATCATAAGAATTCCTCTTCTTAAGACATACATAGAACATAACCAAATTAAAAAGGAGAGTTGTTATGTATCATGACTCTGCAATAGGACATTCATGTAAATCCTTACAAGATCAGGTCTACATATGGTTTGAATACAAGTAAAAATATAAGTATGAATTGCCAATTCTGTGAAATCAATGCAGTAACCCACATTACAAAAACACTAAGTGTTAATTAAAAATTGGTAATAATAATTATTTTTTCAAAAATTAAGTACTTGTGATAAGGTACAGGCAAACAGTCTATTCCCATAATTATAAAATTTATATTATTATACGAGCATAAATATCTCATAAGTCCATCAGTCAGGGTATAATTTAGAAGAACTTTAAGAGTTTAACAAAACTATACAAAATAAAATCAATCAAAATCTGACAAAATATCTATATTACTTGAAAGAAAGATACATAACATTTTGTCGTTTTCTCACTATTTGTAAACTAACAATCTCTGACAAATGAAAATTAAAGTATGGTAATTTTTTCCCAATTTATCATACCTTGGCAGAACACCCATTTGAATGACTATTCCTTTCTGCTTGTTGCTCCCAATAACAGAATTCTTCAGATCCCTGAAATAGAAAAATACAGTTTAAGAAAACAGACATAATGACTAAAAAATACAAATAAGATAAAGATCCTGATAACTGGATTATGTTTTTCTATTTTATCACAAGCCAACTTATTTATAGGGGACATTTGTGTTATGGTGTATTTCCGAATATAAGATGATTCATGTATAAGCCAAGAGTGCTTTGTTTTTCCAAAAATTTACCTAACATTCAAACCCCGAATATAAGCCAAAAAGGGAAGAGGAGTATTTAAAAAAAATTCTAAAATTCCTTTAATGTTCAAACAAGTTGCCAAGGAGGTAATAAAGTGAAATGCCAGATGCCAGAGAGCGTAGTTTAAACTCTGGTAACCCTACCTAAAGGTGGCACATTTTCTTCCATTCATTTTTTGTCTCGTATATGATCTGCGATATCTCTACTGGTCTTATTTTCTGTGTCATTTTATTTTTTACCTGAAATATGAGAAGGAACTGAAATTCCTGTCTGGCAAATTTCCAACAACAGGTCATTGCATTTGCTAGAAATTCTAAAAACAATATGCTATGAAAATTAATTAACGAGGATTCTGATGCGGACTTTGAAAGATTTATACATTTTTTCCTTTTCTTTTCGCACAAAGGTTGTATTCAAAGCACACACACACACACACACAACAAAAAAAAAAAAAAAAAAAAAAAAAAAAAAAAAAAAAAAAAGTTAAAATATTAAAATAGTTTTTCTTTCCCATTGTAACTTTTAGGTGCTAATTGTTACAGTATTCTATTATTATTTCTGGCATACATTTTAGTACTTCTCTGTTAGACAGCACAAATTTTGCCAACATCATTTTTTCAGTTTGGCATGGAAGCAACAAATTAGCAATATAAACAGTTTCGAAAATAAACACCTCATTTTTAAAAAAAGAATAAATCGTTCCATTTAAAATCAATTTGCAAAATTAGTGGATTTGTACATAAGGCAACTCCAGCAATCTAGCTTTAGAAAACATTCCTAAAATTCTCAGCTTATACACAGAAATATATGGTATATGAACCATTATGAAAGAAAATTGCATAAATAATTGCAATGAAGACATGCACTGGTGAAACAATTTCCAACATGAATGTCTTTCTTGTTCTCGTACCTTTTAAAATATGCTTTCACTATTAATATATATATTCTATGATTCATTTTCTAATATTCTGTTATGAAATAAAATGTTTTTCTCGAAAGACTACTGTAGGATACAGCTCAGCATCATGCTTAGCTACCCCAAGCAGAATTTGTGTAGAAGTATTATATAAAAGTACAATAAAAATAAATAAGCAGTTTTATTTCAAATTCATAAAAATGAAAAACCATTCATTTAACAATATTGAAATATGGAATTACATTTTATTTACATATATGTAGTAACTTATATTCTTATACGGCATGCACGGCTGCTTTTCAAATGATAATTATTGGTTACAAATTTACTAAATGATACATGATGTCACGTAATAAAAAAGCTGCATACTTCTTACACGAGAGATAGTAATAAACATTATACATCTGTAATACTTCATAAAATTAGTAAAGCAACAACCTTGTGTTTGGGCACAGATTTAATTGAGAACTAAATCGATTTCGAAGGCAAACAGGTACAGATGTCTCTTCATCAGCAGCAAAGAAATCTGCAAGACTGGAAACAATAGCGGGTGCATTGGTCATAAATCCCATGACAGTAAAGCAAATAAGAAGATAGAGCCAACTGTTGGTAAAAATAGTAACAAAGTTGAAAAATTAAGTTAATACAATTTTAAGTGCCCGGAAACATATAAGCATTCTGTACCGTGCCACGCGCATGGAGAAAAATCCGTTCTTATGATTGGACATAATATCCGATGACATCATTTTCTCTTAGTGTAATGCGTTTAAGCAGGATTCTTATTTTTGTTTTATGACACGCAAACATGAAAACTACCGTTTGTTTTCTTTGAAACAAAAAAATTTAGCTGCAGTGTTCTGCACATGGCTTCCCGTTTCATGGAATAATAAAATTATAAAATCTTTCAAAGGTGATGTTAATAGCAGAGGCAATCTTAAGCGCTAAGATTATATAAATAGCTGACTTTATGAATTTAATACAAAAACAAAAACACGATGATCTCGATCTAACTGTAAAGGCATTGTGTATCTAGTAAGTATACTATCATAATTGCAATTTTGTTGCATTCTGTTTATTTTACATTGTAGAAAATGTTTCCTTTGCAAATGTTATGTTATTTCCATGTTAATGTCCATGTCTTTCACATTCCTAATATTCTGTTGCCTTAAATGAAAGAATAAATAATTCAATTAAAATATGTATCTCTATTTCTCTGTTTCAAATCTATATTGTCTAAATTCAAAAAAAAAATTATTTTTTCAGACTGATTATGAATATTGTGAGTTTATTGTGTTATGTGTTAGCCCCCAACACCGTTTTTGCTATTTCTGAAAACTGACTTGTCTCATGCTTTTGGAGATTGCATCTGCAGAGAATAATATATAATGAACATGAAATATTTATCACAACACTTTTAATATGAAGGATTTTAAATTAAGAATACATTTATTAAAAATCTCTGCAATTAATACACATTTACGGAGCTAGCACATAAAGAAATAATTCTTTCTCTCTCTAAGGAAAAAAAAAAAATCGCTACATTTTTTGTATTAAATTCACCAAACTACAGCGTTGTAAGAAGAGTAACCTCATAGCAACAAAAATACAACACATGTAATAATCTTTTCGGTACTGCTATTAAAACATAAATAAATGGTATGGAGCTGTACCATCGAGCCCAAGCAAAGTCAAGGCACTCTTAAGTGTAAAAGAAATGATGTCATCGGAAGCCAAATCCAATCATGAAGAGGAAATTTTCCCCATGTGCGCGGCGTGGTACAGAATGCTTATATGCCGTCCGGATGGCCTGGAAGGGACTTAAAGAGGCATTATTAATTAAGAAGATAAATTTTTGTCAATAGTGAAAAGCTTCAAGAAAATCCTATTCTTCAATGGAGGAAGCCTTTCGAATAATATTTGCAGACCCAAAATCAAAATTATGATTAAATTTCCAACTATGATCAGCTATCGAAGACTTGTTAATTTCACCTTTTCGGAGATAAGATTCGCGTTCTTAGATATGAAACTTTAATGCTCTTTTGGTCTGGCAAATATATCTCAAACCAGACCGACATGATATGCCAGATATTCCCTAAGAATTAAAGCCAGAAATGAAATCTTTATGAATCATAACCATGGGTTTTATTGATAAGGGAGAAAATAACTTGAAAATTGAATTTCTGGAGAATCCGTGCAACTTTACGACTGACAGAAAGATGAAACGAAGCACGATATTGTTATTAGTGTTATTTTGAATAGCAAAATGTCTTCATCAGGCTAAATTGGAAAATATTTAAAGGGTTTACCAATGATCACAGGAGAAAGAACTTGGTTGTTGGCAACTGATCTCAAGTAATTCAGTTCATTAGCAGGCAAAGGTTCTGAGTAAACAAACTTTGAGAGCATGATATGCAAAATAGCAAAAAGAAGCCATTTTCTGACTTAACAGCATGAGGGTAAACAAACAGAAAAGGGTTTATAGTAAACAGCAGTGCTGAAATCAGACTCGCAGAGAATTATAAGAATATTAAGGAAGGGAAAGATATTATCAGATTCAGTTTGAAAAGTAAACTGGATGGCTGGATCAATTTAATTTATAGTAGATAAAATCTAGGTTAAATCTACCTTTATTACCATCAAAAAGCTCAAAATCTAAAGATGAAAAGATAGTTTCTCAAATAATTAGACCTCAAAATAATGCACAGATATGTCAGCAAGTACAGGAGAGAGGCTAATCCTTCAATTTGATTTTATTCATTCTGGAAAACAAAGTTTGTTTGACTCAAAGATATTTTAGTAACAGAAATAATTCTTCAATTTCAGTGCACATGAAATGGAATTCCTGAAACCTAGTTTCAAACAATGATGATTTTGTACATGTAACTGCTAAAACATCTACTTGTGCATCACACTCCCTTACCAAGTTAAAAGTCCTTAAATGGCTTTTATTTTCACAATCAACTGGTCATAAACATATATTTCCAATTATAGAATTGTTTCAAATGACAAAAAAAAAAAAAAAAAAAAAAATTTGGACAAATAATGAAATCTAACTTTTGATATAGTCTCTTGGTTCCTATACTTATATTTAGAAAAGTTTTATACTCATTATGTAAAAATAAAATTTAAAGAAGTTTGACTCGTATATGACAAAAATTGATCGGAATATTTAATTTCAAAATTTGTAATTTTTTATGTCAATTTTGACTTGAGGGATCAGTTCATTAAGTTAGAATAATTCAAAGAAGTTTAAATGAAGTGCAGTAAAAAAAGTGTATAATCTAATATGACGTAGAAGGAGGTCATGTGGTGTCCACATCAGATATTTTTGTCCTTGAAGAAGCAAAAATTTTGGGAAAATGCAGTTATTACAGGTCTTGCAATAAGGCTATAAAATTAGCTGACCAAAAAAAATATATAAATATATAAAACTGCCTTTTGAACTTTATTTTTCTGCATCCTGAGCTATCAAAAACCGATGATGAAAAATAATTTAGACAATTTATCATTTAATTATATTATAATAGAAATATCCAAATAATTACATAAGCAATGATATATATTATTTAAAAGAGCATACATTACAGCTTCCAGGCATACTTGGGGATCTGGGGAGAAAAGTCTATCAATATAAGCTCTGTTGCTCTCCACATCCTGAAATTATAAGTATGAAAAATATATTTTAAAACATATGAAATACAGATTAACTAGTTTGAAATCAATGCAGTGCTAATACTAAGGCTCACACAATTTTTAAATGATTTTCATTGTATTTACAGAAATATTTTACCTAAAATTTTTGTGTTTTAAATGTTCCATTTGACAACCCTTATCCTTCACTATCTTTATACACCGTAATTTCCAAGACAATAAAGCTTTTTTTAGTAGTGGAAGAAATATTGGTACTATTCCGTTTTGAGGACTGTAAAAAACTGCCAAACTATTGTTGATGCCAGTGCTTCCAAAAATAATTACGGCAACCCTAACGCAAGAAAAGAAGTATAATAGTACATAACTAAGACTATTGTTTTAACCCTTTTGATGCACGCAATATTATTTTTATAATTTTTTTTAACTAAAAACTCTAGAAATTGAATATTATGATCCTAGAGACAAATAATATATGAATTTAAAAAAATCTACTCTTGCCCATTGTTCTGTGGGTGGTGGTCGCACTGTGAAACCACCGCGCATCTAGGACTTTGAAACCTATTGATGTAGTAGGGAAAAAAAACTTACCATTTTCCGCGCGCATTTCCAATAAATGCCGAAATTTACGGATTAAAAAAAAAAATGTATGTAAGAATTGCATTATATATAATTTTTTTACATTATTTTACAAAGTAAATCGTCAGAAAAAACTAAAAAATAAACATTTATGGGATTTTTCTATAGCAGTGAAAATATATGTACCTACATAATAAGGACATTTGGATAAATGGATTAAAAAACTCAATAAAATAAGGATAAAAAAAGAACTTGGTGTTTTTTTTTTTTTATTATTTCAAAGAATAAATTTTTTTGTGACACTGTTCAAAGCATGTTTTGTCTTTTTGGCACATGCATAAAGCCACACTGCACGTTTCGCACATACATCTTGTTCTATGAGGTTTCTTCCTAGTGCTACAAAATGTACACTGCCTGGATTTAAATTTCACTGGTATATGTCCAGCGTTATTTAGTTTCTTTTCATCTGGCACATGAAATTTGTGGTTTTTTATGTTAATGGGGGGACTTGGTCTTTTTGGCTTTGTACGAATCGTTCGTTTCCCACTCATACTTATTTTATTCGTATTTCGTCCCAAAATATTCAGAAAATATTTTTAATTTAAATAAAACTTTTACACAATTTCTATTTTTAATTCTAGCAAAGTATATTTACATTAAATTTAAACCACAGGAAATAATTTATAAAATCACAATACTAGCTTGGGGAGCAAGTGTGTTAATGTCAGAGAAAGGGATTTGGATAAGAAAGACCTTTTTACTGGACATGTGCATATATTGTTTAGCAATAAAATAACTCTGTGGTTTCAAAGCCCTTTATCTATATCCGGGTAAAAATAAACATTCCTATTTGAAAAGCAAGCAAACGCCATTGAGAAGCAAACACCAGTGGTTTCAAGGCACCACCACCAAGCCTCTAGAGGATTGTAAGCATTGTGACACAATGCTCTAATGGTGCAGTGGTTGCACCCTGAAACCACATAGCCAATGCCATACATATAGAGGTTTTTATATATATATATATATATATATATATATATTCAGTTTAATTACTGTAATTTTTTATTGCTTATGATAGAAATCATGATGTGCAATGACTAACATTTGAAATTTAAAGTTGTTTATATTAATAAAGGAAGTTATTTTGTCTCATCGAAAACGAATTTTAAAAAGCATCCGATCTGAAGTATTAATACCTAAAACATATATGATTCTACAGTCATTTTATGTTATTTAGATGTAAAAGATCAGTAATCAATTCATTTTCACTCTGAAATTTTGGAAAAAAGAGGAGAAAAAAAAAAATCGGAAAATGGTGGTTTCAGGGCGCAACCACCGCACGTCAAAGGGTTAATTTAGATGAAAGGTTAATTTTATATAATAATTTTTTATTATAATTTATATAAAAAGGCTAAACATAACTGAATAGAAGCATAAGAATAAATAACTATTTCAGATCATTATTATAAATTGTATAAAAAAAGTTAAACATAACTGAATGGATTCCTGCATCACTATTTCACTACTGAGTTGTCGCTAAAGCATAATTTCATCTTATTGGTTGTTCAAACATAATTTTCTATCATGAATGATGACTTTTCTTTGAACAAATTTTATTGCAGACTTTTCGTCTGCAATAAATCGTGGCAATTCACAAATTGTTAAATCCATAGAATATCAAAAAAGGATTTAAAAATTAAACTAGTATTTCTATGGAGTCTTAAGAAACATAGAACTACTTAACGCAACTTGAAAACAGCGCGTGCGCTAGATTTGGCGCTTTTGCGCATACATTTTCGCTGCAATTTTTTTACAGTCCTCACAACGGAATAGTACTGAAATATTTTATTCCGATTCCTCTTGAACAGCTATCCAAAGTCCAAAGAGCGTTGTTGGTTGACGTCTAGACAATCTGCTTTTTCAAAGTCCAGAAGTGCAAAAATCTGTGGAGTATACATCAGGAGATTTAGTACAGATATGAGCGAATACACATTTCTTGTTTAATTTCTTCCAGGAAATTAACAGTGGATTTTGGTGTGCAGTTGCTTGCTTTGTCTTGATGCGGGTCTACTGATTGATGGCACTGTGGGTAAAGACAAGGTATTTCATATTTGAAAATTGAGTATTAAATACGTTCTCGATAATATGTGAAACTAGGTGTACCCGCCCGGCGTTGCCCGTGCATTTAGAAAATGCAGATAAGTGAATAGCGCAGGAATAGTAGTGTAGGACATGTAGACTGTCTCTCTCTCTTCCCCCCCCACAAGCTACAAAAAAGAAATGAATTGTAATTAATCGATTTAATGTATCGTCAAAACAGCAAACTAACGCTAGAATAAAGAAATCAATTGTTACAATCGAACGTTATTTGAAAACAAATAATAATATCAGTGAGTCAAAAAAACCGTGATTAATTAATTATAAATAATTTTTTTAAAATTTTTCTAATTCAAAAATCGGGCTTCGAGGTCTGGTGGCCAGCCCCTTTGTGCTTCCGTATAAAAAATTCCAGGTCCCTGCGTGCGATAGATTTGGCTGGAGAGCTCGGTCAGACAGACAGACAGACACATTTACACTTGCTTTTATTATTATAGATTGACTTTAGCACTTTTCTGCACACTCTTTAACTTTTATTTGTCGTTATATAACAAAGCAGCAACAACCATAAATCCCTATGATAAACCTTCTTTACAATCTGAACCATGTTCTAGGATTTCTTCTTCTCTTTGATGACAATAAATGTATCTAATTTTACTGTAATCATTTAAATATACCAAAGATTCATCTATTGTAACAACATTTTTCCATTTTTGTATGGATAAATGTTTCTAATAAAGTATTCTGCAGTGCATTCTGCTTTCGACAATATGTCATGGAGAAAGATAATGTACATTACATTTTTTCACCCTTTTTAAGATTCAACAGCATTAATCATTTTATTTAAAGTTGACACTGAGCATGTTAATGATTATGCTACTGTCCTCTTTCAAGAATTTTTTTTTGTAATATTAAAGGGGTAAAGCGCAGAAATGCCCACTTATGTGTTTGGTGATTTTTATAAGAGTACGGAGAATTAGACTTTTGTCAATTTTCTTTGTCTTTTTAAGTGAAAATAGGTAAATGTGTACATGAATAAAGTCAAGGGAGTGCGCAATGCCATTTTTGTGCAATTCTGAGATTTTTTTTAAGTGAAAATAGGTCCATTTGTACATGGATATCGAATATGTGCAATTCATAAAAACGCATCAAGCAGTGAGTGATTCTGCACTTTCCTCCTTTTTCGTTGTTTTCTTGAAGTCCTGTTTTAGATATTTTTGCATGTTTACATGATCTATTTTTTTGCATGTTTACAGAATTAATTCAAATTCACAACCATCTAATATGGCAATATGATGAATTATCGATTTTCTAAAACGCGAGAAAACAATCGATTTGACGACTTGGCAATTTTTTTAAAACATGCCAAACTGGACTGTAATATCCAGTTTTACCGAGTTCTCAAAGCAAAGGGACAAATATTGACGATTTTCAAAACCGTGGCAGAGCCGTATACTAGGATTTTACCGGATCTCCTTATGTGTAAATTTATAAGTGTCATAAATCCATTGGAATTTGTTGAAAGAGTTGTAAAGTTATAGGCCCATATGTACCCGGTACAAGTTTAAATTTTACCAATTTACTATCATTTGAAAGCACGGCACCATTTAAAAAGTTTTTATTGTTTGAAGTAATTTAATCAAATTTTAAAATGCTTCAGATATTTTATTTTGCTTCAGATAGCACTGTTGTAGTTAACGTGAGTAAAATGAAGAATCACCCCCATATTTGGTTGGCGCTTTTTACAAGAGTAAGAATTGGATTTTTGTCAATTTTGTTTGACTTTTTAAGTGAAAATAGGAATCACCCCCATATTTGGTTGGTGCTTTTTACAAGAGTAAGAATTGGATTTTTGTCAATTTTGTTTGACTTTTTAAGTGAAAATAGGTCAATGTGTACATGGATATTGAGCATGTGCAATTTTTAAAAACATGCCAAGAAGTGGGTGATTCTGCACTTTCCCCCGGTAAAGTTCTTACCTTTGCAACATTTGAAACATTTCATTTTTTCGATGGATAAGTATTTCTAAAAATGTTTCTCCTTGAAGCCAAACATTGTTGTTTTTTTCCTTTCTTAATGATAATATGTTGTCATTTTTTAATAACTAAATATGAACAATTTTTTTTTCAAAAAGTGCACAAATATAGCCTTCCATCCACTGCTTCTTTAAAAGTGCCATTTTGCATGAAAACAAAATTGTCAAACAGCAGACGATAATTTACACTTTTAAAAATATAGTTGGAGTTAAAAAATTTCCAAGCAGGCGATTTTTTCTAATAGCAAAGGAAAGTCATCTAAAAAATGAGTGAACAGCCTCTGTATGTACACTTATATTTAAAGCATTAACACATAAATTCTATTCTTATTTCATTTGAATTATAATTACAGTATATTAAAAAAACAGGGTAAAGTGAAGAACCGTCCACTTATTTGGTTGGCACTTTTTACATGAGTAAGAATTGGATTTTTGTCAATTTTCTTTGACTTTTTAAGTGAAAATAGATCGATGTGTACATGAATAGAGTCGAGGGATTACACAATACCATTTTTGTACAATTCTGGGATGTTTTTTAGGAAGCACTTCCGCAGAGAACCCGGTAAATGTAAACATCGCCAACTTTTGCGATAATAGTTCAAACTTGGTAACCTAGCTAATTCATCCTATTCGCTTATGCGAAGGTTGTCATTGTTCGTATTTGAAGATTTATATTATTCTTCTCTTATTTATTTATTTTTTAACAACGAATAGAAATATTTTTGCATAATTAAAGAAGTTTTCGTCGAAAGATGCCGGTTCTCGGCTCGTCAGTTCGGTATCAAAGGAAGAAAATATGGCGGGAGGGGTGAATGCTAATTTGTAAGAAAAGGATAGGTATTTGTTTCAATGTAAAATGCTTTAAGCTATATGCAAGTAACTTGAAAAAGATATATATATTTTACTGAAAACTTTTTGTAAAATGGATGTACTAAAGGTCATGCATTCATTAATTTATTACATGAGATACCAAAATACATCAATCCACAGGCAAAGTACTTACCGAAATACATTCAGTAGAAACATTAGTATTCTTTATGAATTAGAGAAAAATACCATATAAGTATAATGTAAACGTAAGTATAAGAATACTAACTTTTATTTTTTAAATGAATTTTTACTTCCCTTTATATTTAATATATTGTTTTCTGTGCTAACTTGAATTTAATACAAATTTATTTTCATATATCACGTTTAACCTGTTAGTTTACATAACTACTTATTATCTGTGAATTTTTACTACCATTGCCTGCTAACTTAAATTTACATATACTAAAAACCACGTTTACAAAACACCACGCTTACGGCTCGGCTCATAGCTTGGCGAGTAAAAATGCAACGGCGCCAACGGGTTCTCTGCAGATGAAAACCCGTTTTTTAAAGTGAAAATAGATCGATGTATATATGGATACCAATACTGCAATTCTTAAAAACACTCCAAGCAGTTGGCGATTCTTCACTTTTTCCCTATAACTAACAAATATATATTCATCTACTGCTTGTATCATTAATAAGGTTTCAAATCAAAAGTTATATGCAATTAAGGTCTGGAATATTTAAAAGGCTGTACACAATATTTGACATATCAATAGCATATGTAGCAGTGACATAAAGAGCTACATGGATCATTTACTACAGATTAGCATCAAATTCGTTAAACTATTATTTGTATCTGCCTCCATAGATCAAATTATGTTTTTCAGGTTACATAACTGTTTGGAATTAAGAAGTACCATAAGCCCCATAACCTATTTATAATTTGTGAATCACCAAATATACATTTAAAAACCTATTTTCAAATGATCCAAAAAACCATATAAAACGTAGAAAAGCTGTTATTAATCTAATAACAGAAGCCACACAGTGAATGGTTAAAAAAAAAAAAAAATGCTGCGAATTAAGTTTAGCGAAATTACCTGTAGATAAAAATGAGACAATCAAAAGCATCCCATTTTATATTTAAGATGAAATATATTTGAATGTGAAATTGTATGCATAAGTTTAAAAAATGAAATAGAAAGCATTATGATATATATACACACACATATAAAAATGTTAAAACAACACAGCGTAGAATTTTTTTTAAAACGTTTCCGTAATAAAGTACATAATTATATATGAAAGGAAAATTTGAAAATACTTTCAAGAGTTTCAAGCTAAAATGCATGCATATTGCACACAATTTTCAACGAAAACCAAAAAACAATAACTTTAAAAACGCATAAATAAGAGTTCTCACCATATACGGTTCAACATTTACCATCTTCATGATTTGATAACTTCACTATTTACATTAAATTCTGAATCACCAAATACATAAATACAGTTCAGATAACTAAGTGACTTCTTCTATTTTACAGAAATGCATAGTAGAATATTAAAAAAGGATAAAATCATAAACGTTAACCGCCCGGAAAATATGAAGACAGACAGACAGCAGACCAAAAATCTTGCTTTGCATCCGCTAAGTCTTTCTACCCGCAGGGCGGAAAATAAACCCCAGGTGCAAAGCAACGGCAAATAGAAGGATGAAAATTTTGTTTCACAGGAAAATAATTTCACACACACAGATCGTATTTTATTCTCGAGTGTCAAGATGTAGAAACATCTTTTTACTCGACTTCTGATAAAGATCGGGTGCGTAGCGTTTAATTCGAAATTGTTTCGCTAGCTGAAAAGGTGGTTTAAAAATATGCCTCAGACTAAAATAATAATAATTATGGCCCAAGTAAAATAGAGAAGATGAAAGAGAGGCTTGAAGAAACCTAAACATGAATTTGTCCTAACATGCAAAGAACGATGTGTCAAAAATTGGAGAACTCCATGTGATCTATCACCCTAATCATGAAAGCCTAATGTTGCTGTTGTAAATATATTTTATATTGAATGAGGTGTTGAAAATACTAGCCTAATCTAAATTATAAATTAAAAAAAAAAAAAAAAAAAAAAAAAAAAAAGGTAAAAAGAATATGGGGGTTGCTTCGTTGTAGTCTTGAATATTTGTCTCTCATCAGAGGAAAAACGAAGCTAAAAAAAATCTCTGACCAGGAGTGTGGTGCTTTGAAAACTCTTTAAGTGTGCTTGAGCTAGTTACAGGCAATGCCAAAGCAAAAAAAGCGGGGGCATCCATTTGATAGCAGTTTCAAATCCAGTTAAGAAGTTATTTTAAGGGGGAATGTTGACAAATGTCTTCCTATTCTTTTAACATTAGCAAATTTAGAAACACAGTATCACATGAAAAAAGCTCAGTGAAGTAATGAAAAAGTCTGCTGCTACATAGAATACATCTTCAAAATTCTGCTACAGTAAAAAAAGGCATGCTTTATCCATTATTAATAAATATTTGCGAATATCACTTTTGTTTTTTTAACGTTTTTTCGATTAGTATCAATATGAAAATAGAGGGCACCACTACTCCATACGGACTGATTGTCAATTTCTATTTTGGGGAACATTTAATTTTTCTGCATTAAAAATAATTTTTTACTTCAGGGAACGAAGTAACATTCACCATCATACAATTCATTCAGTAAAATGTCATTCTTGCGCAGAAAATATGCATGTACATCAATTTTGTCTAAAACTTAGCAAACCTAAAACGTATTGCATCTTTCGCCAAGCAGGAAACTTGGCGAACTTTTCACGCCATTGTTGTCGATCGTCTCCAGCTTTGCGTCTGCAGAGCTGACAGGTTTCACTCATGTACTCTCTATTTTTGCCCTCTTCCCCAACATTTAGGACGAAACATTGAATGCCTTTCAATAGCCATTTGCAGAATCAGTGGAAATGTTTACTTCCTAGGTCCTTCAGCTAACGAGTCACTCATTGAACGAAAAATTTCTCAAGCGCAATGTTTGTCTGCTAAATATATTCAAATAATAAATTATTTTACTAATACCTTAATAAATAAATATCATCTCAGGGTTATGAGAGAAGTCGAAAAATCAATTCGATATTTTTTTATGAAGCGTTAAGATTCCTTTAAACTCAGTTACCAAGTTGAATCATTCTGAATGCTGAACTGATATTTGAATGCTGAACTTGATACTTGAATGCTGAACTGATATTTATTTTCGGCTAATTTAAGACTTAATCATAGAAACTGGAGGCCTTCAATTATACGTATATTTTCCGAATAATTTCATCATATATTAGGTCAGCACTTCACACTGAATACGTTGAATTAAGCATAACTGAAACGCTTTAAATAGTCTCCAGATATTAGGGATAGTGTGATATACGCTAAATTTTGCCTCTTCAATAATTCTTATAATATGGCGCTTTGTTGAATATTCAGTATTATTTCGTGCATCACATAGTACAAGTTATCTCATTGCGGAAAGGATTGGCATAATTGATGGAAATTTAAAAGGATGGAAAATTAATGGAATTTCAAGGATAAATCGCAAATTCTGCGAATATTTCGCAGCCGACGAATTTCACTTACACTTCCAAAGAACTTGTCAGATATGACGCATCATGTTAATTATTTTCAAACAGCCAAGCTTTGTCAGTACTTACAGAACGTTATAAGCGATCAGATCTTGATTTAACTGATAGCCAATTTAATAAGTTTACGTCACATCAATAAGTTACGTCACCTTTTTATTTGATATCGGTTATCATGGTTGATTGGTTTATTTATTTAATTATAGCAAGCGCACAAGAGCTATTGCGTAAATGGAAAGATGCCTTCCTTGAGAACCGCTACGAACGGCAGAGCGGTAAGTCACTGAACACTGGTAGCTGGTCCGAGGTTCGAATCCCACGAACAAGCGCTGCACGAGCGTTTTCATGGTTTTCCCAAGTGTAACTTGTACACGAGCCAGTTTTCCCTTGAAAGTCCTCCACGAAGGCATCGCTTCCCTTAGGCAGATAACTCTCGAAGCTTGACGTAATTACGTAAACCAAACCAACTTAGTTAAGGACTTTTAAGTGAAACTGGCTTGTCCCATGCTAGAATCACGAAAAACATCCATTCAACCAGCCCGTTCGTTGCTATTCGCGCCCTTCGAACTACCAGTGTTCAATGGTAGCAGCTCCTCACCGGTACCGCTCGGCCGTCGGTGAGCAGTCTGCTGTTATGTAACATGGTTAAATTCGAAAATGGATTGTTAAAGACGATAGCAAATATTCAAAGCATTAAAACATTGGAAACCATCTCTAAACTTCAATATAAATTAGAAAAATTCGTGATTTTTTAAAAATTTATAATGTTGTACAATTAAAAAAATCCTTAAAATTTACGGAAATTCGCTCATTTATAAAGTGGGTCTTGCGGAAGAATTCAAACAATGAGTAATAACTTAAATCTGCTTTGTCAGCTCTTTGATTGCAAATCATCAAATAATAATTAATGGTAAAGTAGATGAAATCTTTATCTGGTCTTACGTACCTAATTTCAATGACATTTAAACTTCTCACTGTACATATTAGATCAGGGATGGGTAAACTTTTTCGTCGCGCGGCCAAAGATCGAAAAGAAAAAAAAAAAAAAAAAAATTTGAAGGGCCAAGATAATTTTTCTAAAATTTTAAAAACAATATACAAAGTACTCAATTAAATATGTTCATGAGATGAGAAGAAATTGCCATTTCATTTTTAAAGTTCCTCATATGAGGTTCGAAAGGAGATGTACTAATTCTAAGGAACGAGGCTAAAATGTTCGTCGGTCAGTCTGCTTCTGAAATAATTCTTTAATTTCACAGTCGAAAAACACTTGTTCACATGTAAAGATGAAGAAAAAACCTAGCACTGATTTCTGGGGATGAGATAATAGATTTTGGAAACTTATTTTCGATATGCAAAACTCTAAATTTGGCAACTTTGGCTCAGTTAGAAACAACCGCTCGATGATTGTTAGACTGTAACTCAATTTATTCCAGCTGAAAATCTGACCTCACTGCTTCACAGTTTACTTCAAAGGCATGGTAAAAATATCCAATTCTGTTTGAATGATACTGAAGTCTTTAAATCTGCTTTCGAACTCAAAATGCAGTTATTTCAAGCCATCTTCATAATTCTTTCGATTTATGTTTGCAGAACAAAAACGGAGAAAGTATTCATCAGTCCTTAATAAAAAAAATAATATTTAAACAAATTAGAAAAGAGATGGATATTTAATATATCAATATATATTCTTTTTATTTGCCACCTTTAAATTTATTGCCGGCGGGATATAGGACCTTCCGGCGAGCCGGAGTTGGCCCTCGAGCCGTGGTTTGCCCATCGCTGCAATAGATGAAAATACGTGTGGATAATATTTTCATATGTTATCAATAATTTTAGTAAGATATAAAATTTTAAGCAATATTAAAAAATAAATTATGATGTCTATTTCTGCTAGTTGCAGAATTTTCACCTTAAACCTTAAATGGACAAAGAAATTTTTTTCGCCTTCTGGCTATCGAAATCCAAAACCTTAATTAATAAATATTTTGTGTACATCAACTTTTTCTGTACAAGTTCTTGGAAAAATCTTGATAATACCAGGGATAATAAGCTTTTTGTAAAAAATTATACTGAATAGGTCAATATTGCGCAACAATAAGTGAAAAGAGCCTTTACGTTTAAATGAATAAATTTATTATGTTCTTTGTTATTAAATATGCATTTACCTTTTTTATTTCCTTGTACGAAGTAAAAGAAATATTACTATTATTAAAAATTACTACATTATTAAAATTACTATTATAAAATTACTATTATTAAATTATGTACGAAGTAAAAGAAATTAATAATTTTGACTATTTTTTGGGGTGACTTTTGCCACCCGTACGTACAGAATAAAGTACTCCTCTCCGGAGGTTTTCTAAAAATGCAACTGGCTCGTATCCACATTCCCGTCTGAGAAAATTCACGAAAACTCCCCTGCAAGAACTTCTCTGAGGATCGAACACTAGTCGATTTACAATTTTCAGCTATTTTACCGTTAACGGCTAATGAGTCTCAAGAATTATTTTTTACTAAACAAATGCCAGGTTTTACCATCAGGTCATTAGCGACGAACTCTCCAATACTTTTAACAGTGAAAAAAATCATTTATTGCAGAACACTCGTCCAGATAAGCAACGGTCCTTGTTCAGAGGCATAAGCATTCCGTACCGTTCCCAGCGCATAGGTTAAAAAATCTGTTCTAATGCTTGGAAAGGCTGTCAGGAATTCATTTCCTATAAAGTTTAGGTATGGTGTATGTGCTTACGGCAAAGCCTCAAGGGCTATCTGCCTAAGGAGAGGAATGCCTTCGTGGAGGACTTTCTAAGGGAAAATGGCCCGTATACACGTTACACATGGGAAAAACCACGAAAGCCCCATGTAGCAGCCCATTCGCGGGATTCGCGCCTCGGACCGAACTACCAGTATCAAGCGAATTTCCTCTCGGCGGGCTGGTGGGGCCTTATACACTTTTAGGGCGCCTTGACTTTGCTTAGGCTCGAGAGTACAC